CTGCAAACCGGTTCTTCCACTGAACAATTACTTATTTGTTCCTTAACAGGTATATACTGGCCTTTAAATGCTGAATCTTCATCAATTACATAAACTTTGCAACCGCTAATAAGATTTTTTCCAACAGCTTCTGATAGAACTGTAAAAAAGAAATATAGGTGTACTGTCTGAACGGCCTCACACAATCATATAATGATTATCGACCTTCTTCAGTGGTAATTAAATTCCAAAATGAGAAATCAATAACACATTCTGATCAGACAGCAAAACCTGTAGACCGTTTTGTAAGCAGTAAAGCCACAGAAATCACTAAACACAAGCAGTTACTGCTAAAAGTTGTACGAGTAAAAAAAAACCTGCCTGGAAAAAGAGCTTTGCTGGTAACAATAGATTTGGCTTTCGCCACTGTAATCGAATGTGCTAATGGTTCTAACTTTAAGTGTGAGTTAATCCATGCTGTAATTACGCCTATTTTACTCAAACCCACCCATAAAGCAACAAAGTCGGCTCCATTTTCCAAAAACAAGGCAACAACATCTCCTGAATCATGCTGCTCCGACTGCAATATTAATTAATGAAATCCACGGAAAATATTTAATCAAGTGCTGTTTAAATATGGAAGACAAGAGATTATAGGAGAAAACTCTATTCATTAAATGATAGAAAAGAGACGTTCAGAAAAATGACATTGTTCACAAATGATTAAGTGACAGAACTAAGATAACCATCAGGTCAAATGCTTTCTAATAAGAAATTTCAATTACGACGGTCTTTATGACACATCTTTTTGAGCTGTAGATATAAACTTGCTCCTAATAAACCCTTTCAGCCTTTAAGAATTCACAATAGTCTTATCCTACAATAAACCCTTAACACATATTCCCTTGCTTAATTTAAAGCCGTTTCTGACTATGGGATAAGGATATAAACTTTTTACCTGGAAAAAATTCGCATATTGATTGCAACAGTTATTCAGCTCCAAGAAAGTGAGGCTTCGTTGTGTATCTATTTCAATAATGGCAGTTTTTTCAGGATGCTTCTTCAATACTTCCAGGAAAATTTTATGAAGCGGTCTGTTTAAATACAGTTGCATTCGAATTCGAAACTGTACCCTGACCAGTAAGCATAGTCCTCTGCAAAAGAGAAAAAAAGCAAAAAGTGTTCATAACTAATTATTAATGGCAATTATAACTGAAAAAATCTGACTTCTCAT